CTTACGCCACCCTTGCACAAAACGACGATAATTTTTCTAATTTCATAGACAACAGAAGACTGTATTTTTTCTACATAACCCCCCCCTGAATTTAAAGCTGGAATGTTTGAAACACGACCAGTAAACACTGCTCGAGTGCATAATGCAAATCGCTCAAACTAGGCAACATCCATTAAACAGTTCAATTGCAGACCTGTTTATAATACAATAGCACCAGTGCGCCACACCATCTGCCTCTCCTTCTAAAGGCCGGGTTCATGAGAGAGACAGACGATGGCCTACCCGTCTATCAAACCCAGCCGGGAGGAGGAAAATAAAGCGCACAAAAATTGAACGTTTTGGTCAATGTATCAATAAATGCCTTAATTAATTAATTATTCCATTGAAAATTAATAATCAAGCGGTATTATTAAATGACAAACATTGCAATTAAAATTAATAAGTCATTATTAGTTTTAAGAGCGTCTGCAGAACAAAATCGTCTAGACAACGAAACAACCTTGATTCAGCACAATGCCCGAACTTAGTCGAAAAAAAATTAAAGACAAGCGCAGCTTTTTACCAGGATGCGTGGGAAAACCTTGTAAAGAGTGTTGGCGCCATATTGAAACAACACCGCCATATTCCCGGACTCGCGTGGGGCGCAGCGGGGACTGGGAAACTCATCTGGATACTTAATATGCATCAAACTTTGCACAATCGAATGCGCGCTGGCTTCCACGGGAAACTTGATGGGAAAGTTGCAACCTCCGGTACAGACTCCGGTCAGATACTCCTGGGGAGCCAACACGACAGTGTCCATGTGCAGCTCCTTGAACTGCACAGTGAGGGAAACCATTTCGCACATGCTCCCAGCAGGTTCCACATCCAGCTCGATGGGATCAGTATCAACGTTCCGAGGGAACCGCAGATGCTCCTCTGAGTCGGTTCTTATGAAGCTGAGAATAAAGGGCTCGTTCTGGAGGTGTCCATGCTGGAACTGGATCCCGATGGATCGAGGATCCACAATGGCCCATGCAAAGTTATACGGGTGGGCGCTCACATGCAGCTCGTAGATTTGCGTCTTGTTCCTCACCCAAGCCTTGAATACTTCCGATATGTCAACGGCAATCCAGCCCGAATAGTCAGCTGCAGTGATTGTATACCCCGCCCGGATAAAGTAGTCTTTTCCATCAAACCTCTGTCGCGTGTAGACCAAGATCACGTAAAAATCATCTTTGACCTGGTAATGTTCTTTGTTCTGGAACAGCTTCAGCTTAGCTGACAGCACTCTGGCTTGCAGATCGATTTGAGGCGACGAAAATTCAAGCTTCAGTCTGCTCATGTTTCGTCCGGATCCATCATCAATGGGGCGCATCAGGTAAACCACGTCGCTCATTTCTCCGTTGGCAATTTCGTCGATACTCAAATATCTCGGCTCCTCTTGGATTTCGAACGTATGATAGTTGCGTCTTATTCTCGCGCCCTGCTGGAACATATCGGTCTCTCTGTTGTTGAGGATGTTGTACAGCTCCATCATCAGCTTGGTGCCGTAGCTGTTCAGCCGACAGCTGGTCGGTTGCTTAGACTGTTCAGCAATAGCGTTTTGAACAAAAAGCTGCAGTATCAGCGCTAGGAAGACCAAGCGAACCATGCTGGAACAGGAGAGATCAAATGGTTGAAAAACCATCCGCATTTCAGAAATGTTCAATTTTCGACCAGTGTATGACAAAAGCCAGTCGTTCCAGGCACTAGACCAGGTCAACCATTTGCCATTGGCACGAGCGCGAGCGAGACAAATGCAGCCCACTGGAAGGTTTTCCTGGAATACACTGCTGGGAAATTGAACATTCGCTTTATTCTGGGTAAATACGCTAAAAACGGTAATTTAAAGCTTGACACTAAAAATCTTGCCACTATGTACTTACTCAGGCATGTTTTGAGCCAAAACACTCAGTCAGATCGGCACAAACACAGACACTCACAAACAGCACATCTGCTTAAATCCCTCCGGTATACACTTGGAAAGGAATTCGCTGATAAACAAACAGTTTTTGCCAACATTCCCGTGAAACGAGCACAAAATGTCCTTCCAGTTATGCATTCGAGCTTGAAAAAGTCCGAAAACTGCCGCATGGGCAAGAAGTAATTTTTTTAGTCTGGCCCGAAAAATAATAATTCCCCAACCCCTGAATTGCTCCCCTTTTACAACCCTCGTCACTGATGTCAGAATGTGTTTTGCATGCAAATGTTCATCTTCGAAATTGGACACTCAGCACTAAACCTGCTGGGAGATTTTTGTATAATTTTATCGCCGGACGAAAAGTTACAAGACTCCTTCGCAGGACATGTTAACCTGCGGGTTTTTAGGCATTTAGCCCAGTTTTCCCGGATTTTTCCAACAGTTACAACAACAACAAAAGCAAATTTGTTCATTTCTCTGCTGTGTAGAAAAACCAGCCTAAATTAAAATAGGACAATATATTTTGCTAAAGCGTCCAGCGGGAAAATCCTTGTCAAAAGGCCCGCACACATTTCCCAATTCCGAAATACAATAGCGGCGCCTGAGAAAAAAAGAAAATCGCAACAATGTCACACTCTCAGTTCTTATATGAAATCTAATTTCGCGGCGAAAGTCGGACGACAAAACCGAAATGGTCTTTTATGCCGGCTCTGATAAATCCTTTTATGGCATTTCGGGGGCAAGAAACGGTCCAATTTAACAATATCCTGGTTTTCTCGGTAAGTAATACTACCATTTCCATATAATCTATTTAACATTGGCCAGCTCGGGCGCTTTCAATGCATAAATCATCTAAAGATGGTTGAAGTCAATATTTATAAATATTTGTAATTCCGAGTTGCACGACTGAAATTCAAAAAGCGTTGACAGCTGCTTAAAACTGCGCAAGATAAACTAAGATAAACGTTAAAAAACACAAAATTACTTGTACAGCCAAATGATTGAATTAGATACTAAATTGTGAGCAGTGTATGACCAAACCTCCTCTCAAGGGAACTTAGACCACGTTACAACGGTTCGCCGCCCTTGAGTGCGACAGAGACAGATAAAAGCGGGTGGGTCCTTTCTCTGAAATACACTGCTCAACATTTGAGCTGCTGTTCTGGCTGGAGCTAACTGACTGTTTCAAGGCAAAGTGATACCTGGTCAATTCAGAAACCGAAAAATCCCAGTTCAGTTTCCTGGGCGACAATAAAAGCAAATATTCCCGTCGAGCTCCAAAACAAGACGCAAAAAAGTCCAATTCAACGACTTGGTCTCATTTTTAATAAATGCGCCCATTTCCATATAATGAATTCATCGCTGGCCAACAGCAAACCAACAACGGCCGAATATTAAAAACGAAATTAAAACCGAAACGTGCACCAATTAATTTAATTTGACCTGTATATATCTATGTGGGTGCGCACCGATTCCGCAACAGCAAACACCAATTTGAATATAAAGCGTTTCTTTTTTGTGCCTCTGGAATTGGATTACAATTGAGGCCATTCGAGCTGCGCGCTCCAAACTTGAATAAAAACACACACCATTTTGAGTATAGTATTTAAATAAACGTAATTTAATACGAACGCAAAGCTACGCAACCATCTGTTGAATTTTTATTTTAGAGTGATTAGGAGGGTTTTCTTCGTAATCAAACCGATGGGATTGGAATAGGAACTGGCATACCTGGATGAGGAAGGGGCGCCCAAACATCTCACGTAAATACAAAACCATTTATCAGCAATTTTAAACATTAGATTAGCAGCTTAGGCGGTCACTTTGGTCTGCTCCTTTTTGGAGGCCTCGTTGGCCGCCTCGCTCTTCTCATACTCCGCAATCAATGCGTCCACCTCTTTCGCGTTTAGGATGTTGATGACAGTCTTGTCGTTGACTCTGGACAGCGTGGCCATTTCGACTGGAAAAGCGCAGCAAATTAGGACCAATCAACGGTGCAGCTGCCCTGCTTTTATACCTTTTTCCGACGTCAGTTTGGTCATATCCAACGTTTTGCTCAGCACCTTCACAGCCAGCGACTTTGCGCTCGCTAGAGTCATCTCGCCCTCCTTGTACTCCTGCTTCAGGCTGGAAATGGCCGCCTGAAATCACAGCGTCAGCATTTTCCAAGAAGAACTGTGTTCAAATGAAGGGTTACCGAGCTGTTGTTGCCAATGCAAGTGGCCTTCCAGCCGCTGTAGTTTCCACTGGGGTCCGACTGGTAGAGCTGATAGCCGTAGTGTTTGTCCCAGCCCATATAGAGGATGGAGACTCCGAAGGGGCGCTTGCCCCCGTACTGCGTGTAGGCCTGCTTTACGTCGCAAAGCCAGGAAACCAACTGCTCGCACGGAATGGACTCTCCGTATTGGTAGAGATATCGCTGCCCGATCACTCGCAGTTCATTAGTAAGAACATTGGCATCAGACGTGATTCCTGCCACGCTACACACCATGTCTCTGCAAAAAGAAACAAATTCATGAATGAAGAAAAACACGCAATGAACATCACTTACTCGTTCAGCTTGTAAATTTTTTCGGATGTGAAGACTTCATCCAGCAGCTTGTTGGTATTCCGGCGCTCTGCCACCAGGAGAATACCGTCATTGGCCAGAATCCCCAGGCAGGTGCCTGCCAAAGAGATGGCTTCCATTGCATATTCCACTTGGTATAATCTACCTGCAACAACACAAAATTATGCCGATCAAAGCAAATAGATGCAAACCCGTGTCAGACAACCCGCTTACCTTCTGGGGAGAAAATCGTTGTTCTGGTATCGTACCTGCGGGCCTGAAACCATCAAAACGGCCCCATTAATGCGAATGATCAAGCAAAAATTGCAACAGCCAAAAACCCCCTCGATCAACCACTTACCATTTTGTCTGCCGGTTTACTGAGCACAGGAATGGGCTGCTGTTAATGTTCCAGCAGGAATTCGTTTATAAACTGCAAATAAATCTCCGGAGATAGGATGATAAATGAAAATACAACTCACTGTCAGTAGGTTATGGCGACGCTGCGCCTCCTCGCCCAATTTCGATGTTCGGCCAAAGTTCGGCAACGCTGCTAGAGGCTGTAAAAACAGACGTTATGGATTCGGGACGAAAACAAATTTCCAGTAACATGGGGAAAAATTTAAAGCGCCCCGTATGGTAGTTTTAGCCAAAAAGGCCTGCCCAATAAAAACAACCCCGCCTCCAGGTAATATGTTCAAGTAGTCTGTGTCTGATTACTGATAGAATGACTGATGGTGCGTAAGTCATTGGATAATATTTTGAAAAAATTGCCGGAATTTTAAATTTTTCCGCAAAAGCTAGTGAATTTTCTAAATAATTAACTTTCCCTTCGCGCTTTCCCGGCATTTTCAAAACGAGTAGAGCGATTTCCACGAGAAAAATCGGTTTTTAAGTTGTGAACTATCTGACGTTTAACTGTCAAAGCAACAGTTTGCACCCAGAAACAAGCAGCTTGACATGGTAAGAGCAATTTTTCTAAACTTTTACCCCCAAAAAACGGAAATTAGTCACCAAAATTCCCATATTGAGCCCAATGACATGAAACCGGAAATGTATGAGCACAAAGGTCGTAATTGCTCGGGGAAAACTTGCCAAAGTTTCACTTTGAAACTATCTAGGGAAGGCGCGCAAGGGAGCGAATTTATGTCCCAGGTACTATAAATTGACCATAACTCACAATTTAGCCATTAACTTGTCGGGAAGTTTTGTTCGTTTGTAGGAATTTCGGCGAAAGGTAACAAATGGGGCCAAACAAAATTTGGGTAATTGGGGTCCGTATTTTAGGCGAGTTTTGCTTAAAAACAACCCCTTATCGCAATTTTTCTTAAAACTACGATCAGTTCAATTCAAGCGCCCCAATTGCGAATAATCAAGCCATCGTCGATAGAACAGCAGTTTTACTTTTAGTCTCAATTTTCAAGCTGGGATGGGAAACAAAGCCGCATGGAAAATCTAATCGATGAGCCATTCGGTTGTTAGCATCCGACTTGAAAGGAGCGCAATTATCGTCAAAATTTCCGACCTTTCACCCCAAACGCTTAATTACGCTTCATCTCGCGAATTACGAGAAAAGTTCTCCAGCAGCATTATACAGATAATCGTAAATTAATGACAAAAACTTCCTGCGGCACCATGTTTGGTAGATGCCCTTTCCTGTATGCCTAATAGGTGTAATTAAAATGAATCATTTCATCCTTCCACAAGATCACAGCAATAAGTTACAAAGTTCTTCGTCTAGAAACTCTTTATTAAAACTCCCTAGCAGCTTCATCGAAAACAATTCTTAAAACTAATACTATCCTTATTGTATTTAAACGAAATCAAATTCTTAAAAGACAAGTCTTCACCGGGTCTTAACAAGTTTGGCCAGCCACTAACGTGACCAAATAACGTCTCAACCTTCCTCTTTCCGCGTGTATCACAACTTCGCTATCTGATATAACGCGCTTAAAGGAACATGGATTTAACACAACTGGAGATTCTAAAAAATAGTACAAAACGAAAAAAAAAGTCAAGTTGCGAAGAAAATAAAACGCAATAACAGGGCAATGAAGTATGCGCGCACTACCAATCTTCGTCCTCGTTTTCGACTGGCACCTGGTTGAAGTTCTGGCCCTGTCCGAAGTTCTCCTGCAACAAAACAGTTCTGTACAGTCATTCACAGTTTCAAGCAGACCGAAACTCACCCCTCGGATGTCCCGGCCCCCAAAGTTTCCGTTGTCGTAACCGCCTCCATACCCGCCGCCAAGCAAAAACTCCGGCACTTCTTGACCCGCTTGCTTCAAAATAGTGGCCAAGGGACCGGTAATGGCGCTATCGCATTTTGAATCATAGAAACTGGTGGCTTTGCCTCGATTTCCCACTCGACCGGTTCTGCCAATGCGATGCACATACTCGTCCACGCTCTTAGGCAAGTCGTAGTTTATAACGTGTTGGATACCCTCAATATCCAAGCCTCTGGCCGCTACCCCCGTTGCGACCAGAATTGATCGAATTCCTGTAAACAATCCGGTTTGAGCGCTAATACAAAGATTCCGCAATTACATACCTTTTTTGAAGTCCCAAAGAGCAGCTTCGCGCTCTCGCTGCAGCCGGTCACCGTGAATACTCGTCGACTGGATGCTATTCTCGCTCAAAAACGTGGCTAAGAAATCGGCGCTTCGCTTTGTCTCTACGAACACCACTGTCTTTTCGCCAGCTGCAATAAAAACTCTTGTAGACCCGCTTAAATAGAGTTAAAAAGACTTACGAGCTGCCGAGAGCATTTCCATTAACTTGTTCCTCTTATCGAAACGCGAGACTTCGTAAAAGACCTGCTCAACGTCCGTAGATGCGCTGCCCACCACTCCAACCGCCACAAAAATGTAATTGTGCAGAAATTTGCCAGCCAAGTGCTGCACTTCCTCGGGAAACGTTGCGGAGAACATCAGCGTCTGTCTATCGCCCTACAATCAAACCCTCAAAAAACTGCTGAGGAACCGTATAAGACAACTCACCGTGGCTACCATGGTGGAATGACCCAGCATGGATTCAACAATCGGCAAAAATCCCATATCCAGCATTCGATCAGCTTCATCCAGAACAATGAACTGCACGGAAGCGAAACTAATATGCCCGTGGTTAACAAAGTCGTTCAACCGGCCAGGAGTAGCCACTAAGATATGGCAGCCTTTCTACAATGTGAACATTTCCTCAAATTACTCGTACAACAGTGGCAAAAACGAACACACTTACCATAATCTTGCTTCGTTGATGGTGCACAGACGTGCCTCCATAGATAACCTCAGCTTTTACAATGGAATTTGAGGCAAACTTCCTCGCCTGGTCGTAGATCTGGATGGTCAGCTCTCGAGTTGGACTGACAATAACCACGTTAGGTTTGCAGGTCTCACCTTCGGTTTCCGGAGGCTTTTGGCTTTGGAGGAGCATATTAATAATCGGCAACAGAAAAGCTGCCTAAAACAGTCGATACAATCTATAACTCCCATTTGCTCTTTGCACTTATTGGGAAAGTCTTACGGTTTTTCCTGAGCCAGTTTGGGCGCAGGCCATCATATCGCGGCCAGCTAACAAGATCGGTATGGCGTGCTTTTGAATGGGAGTCGGTTGCAAGTAACCAGACTTCTTAACGTTGCCTAGTAGATGAGGGCGCAGCTCCGATTTATCAAAGGACGAAATAGGGTTTGGAACATCTTCTCCCGTGACTTTAACGTCGATATCGTCCAGCTTTATAAAGTTCACACCTACAAAAACAGACCTATCAGATCGAAATCTTTGCACCAGCTCGAACCCACTTACCAGATGTGATTGTCTCCGTAAACAGATTATCGTCGTTCACTCTTTCCACCGGAATGTAGATTTCTCTTGGTTTTTGCGGCTCGCCATTCTCATCTTTCTTATCGTCATTGCGGCGGTTGTTCCAGCTATCGCCGCCGTCGCGATTTCTATCGCCGTCACGATTCCTGTCGCCGTCCCGATCTCTACCCCCATAACGATCCCTGCCACCTCCATCATGGTCTCGGCCGCCTCCATTTCGATCTCTACCTCCGCCATCTCGATCTCTACCACCTCCATTTCGGTCTCTGCCTCCTCCATCTCGATCTCTGCCACCTCGGCCACGCCCTCCGCGGCCTCGGCCTCCTCGCCCTATTTAAATCGAGTTAACGCAATCCCTCAGAGGGCTCAGAAGCGACTTACCGCCATTGCCAAAGTCGCTAGGGGCTTCCGAATCGCCCCATCCGCCGACGGTCGCATCGTTGTTCCATGTGTTGTCTGATCCCATATCTACTGGTTTAAAGCCGCGGCCTGCCGCGAACTTAGTGCCTCCTTCTGAGGCAAAACTGGTGGGGGGCTGAAAAAAGTCATTAAGAAATTAAACATTTATCCAGACATTATATTTGTAAGTGTCTAACTATCACGGATGTTAATTGAAGTGTGTTAATAGACCCTTCGAGGGCAAATCCGATAAGCGCACGTGTTAATTGATCGGCCACATGCTTAGCCGGGAAAGTTTACGCATTTTTCAACGGCAA